GGTACTTTCTCTTTCACATAAAACAAGTGCTAGGCAGTCAGTGCTTCTCATCACCAGGGCACTAGGCCCCTTGAATCTTGCCACCATCATCCGTAGCTGCCACCTGGTAGCCTAAGATGGCTGGTTGACCTTGCCTGTCACAAGGAGGAAGAGATGGACCTTTTCTCTCTCTGCCAGCCCCCTTTAAGGACACATATGTGCAGGTAGTGCTTTCCCTGGGAGGGACATTGGCTGAAACAGTGTCACATGGCCACACCTGGCTCCAGGAGAGGAAGGCAGCATCACCTGGTGTACCTGGCCAAAAGATGACTTCTCATTACTCAGGTTGAAGGAGAGAGAGATCATTAAGAAGCAAACAGCAATTTCCATTGAAGTTAGAGAATTTTAAGTTTTATCAGTTTTTAAGAGGCTTAAGGTATCATTTGAGAGGTTAAAGGACCTCAGTGATATTCTTAATGATACTCAATTCTTGAGAGTTTTGGGGCGAGGATAAGATAGGGATACTGTATGAAAACGTGCATTATAGTTTTATTTTAAAGTCGTTTTTGGTTGCCTTTTTTGCTGGGGCTTTAAATTTATGAGAGTTATGTCCACAGAGTATTAATTAGTTAAAGCCAACAGACAAGGTCTGTATCTTCTCAGAAGTAGTGCCGAAGGAGAGATAAGTGTATACTTGACCTGAGAATTCGCTTATAAGAAGCTTAATGTATGTAAATAAAGCTATTCAAGCCTCAGGCCTCCCAAGGCCTGGTGTGTCATGGGTTTTGGGCGTGAACGCATGTGTGCACAGGACAAGGCCCCCAGGCTGGGAGTAGCTAGGCGGACCGAGTGCGCTCTAGAAAGATCCATCGGGGAGCTGGTGCGGGGTGTGGACTGCTGGGCGGCACCTCTTCCCCCTGATGCGGGGGGCGGCGCCTGCTGCCTGGACCATCGCCAGCGAGTGTGGTCAGGGGAGCGGGAGGATGGCGCAGTCGTGGGAGGGGGCAGAGCTCCGAGGTTGGACAGAAGGGAAAGAGCAAGACGGCCTCATCAGCCAGCAGTGGTCTGAACGTTTCATTAGAAGGACAGAGGTAAATTAAACGTTAACTCAGAAAATTCTGGTTTAAAATTGATCACAAATACAGTTTTAAGCCCCAGACACCCCAAATCTCAACGAGTAACTTTCTGGGCTCTGAGAGCGTGCTGTCTGATGGTGCCTGTCACGCGCTTGCACAGCTTGTGTCAGGGTCTCACCCGAGGAAGAGACCGCAGGGCAGTGACTCCCCTCTCCCCCTCCCCCACCCATATCTAACATGATGCCCAGTGTGGGGAAGCGGGGGAGTGCAACAGGCTTGCTTTCTTTGAAGCTTCAAATCAGAGTGAGTTGCATCTTAGAGAAAAGTCGGAGGAAGAGTTACTGGGAGATCTGCTCCCGTGCACGGGCAGCCCCAGCCCAGGCTTCTGTCTGGCCCCCACTCCCTCCTGCCGGATCCGCGGTGGTCTTGCTGAGCGGGCCCCCCGGAGTCCCGGGCGGTCGTGGTTGTCCCCGTGGGGCTGTGTGGCCGGGCCCACCGCCCTCTTTGAGGAGCCCCGGGGGCCAGGGAGCCGAGGCCGAGATTTCCTTGCTGTAAGCCTGCGCCACCATCGCAGCGCCCTAGGCTGTGAAGTGCCCTGTCCGCCCAGCCAGCGCGGGCGCCCTTAGCCCCCGTGGCTCTGAGCACCTGAAGTGGAGCCGGTGCGGCTGGGAGCTAGATTGTTAACTGAATCTTAGCTAATTTAAGTGTGAATCCTTCATGGGGCTACTCTTGTGGACAGTGCGTTCTCGCCTAATATTAATATCTCGTTAACTGCGCGTGTGGGTTAAGAAGGTTCCTTTGGGCTCACGTGGGAAATCTGACAGCCTGATACTGGGGTTTGGGAATTGGGGGGTGGCTGTGTCCTAAAAGTTTCATGAAAGCTAGTTTTAGTCAAATGAGTTTACCTGTATTTAGGATCTACCCTTTGATAATTATTTACATAGTAAAGAATTGCCTCATCCTAAAGGCCAGTGGTTTTATTTTGTTTGTGCTACGTCAGTAGTGTTTGCTGTTTTGTTCATCTTACCTCACGGCTGTACAGACTTGGGTTCAAGTGAGTTTTATGTCGCATAAAGCTGAGAGTTAGCCAGTGCCCGACGCGGGCTGGAGGGAGGTGGCCACGTGTCAAATGGGACAGCCTCTGCGGCCCTGCCAGGCTTCTTGGAGAGTGCTGAATGCAGGTGTCTCGGGAGGCTTTCCCTAAAACTGTGAGCGCAGCGCCTGAGCTCTTTCCCAGTGTCCTCCACCGCCAAGCCTCATAGATGGGCTTCTTGGTAAAGTTAAATCAGAATGTGTGGAGCAGGGTGGTGGTGGTATGGAATTCTCCCAGCGACTCTGTGTACTTTATCCTCATTTTTATTTTCTCACTTGCCATGTGTCCCATTTTAAAGGGTTCTAATGTATGGGCAGGTGTTACAGACTCATTATTACTCAAGAGTAGTTGGAAAAACTAAACTGCATACTTGCTAAACATTAGTTGGCCTTAGCTTTTTTTTCCTTAAATGGAGTTGTTCTCACCTTGGAAGTAAAAGTAACACCTAGTAATAGGCTTTATTTTCACACAGAAAAATTCAACCCCCTTGGTCCATCTTTAAATTTCCCATTTGTGACAAAAATGAGTATGATAAATTTTCTACTTTCCATTGGACTCTAAGAAAAATACTGGGTTGGCCAAAATGTTCGTTTGGGTTTTCTGTAATATCTTATGGAATAACCCGAACGAACTTTTTGGCCAGCCGATAGCCGCAGAGCTGTGTTGAGTAGGGGCAGCTGATGGTCTCACCGTGGGGAAGAGGGCATCCCTGGCCCTGGTGTTCCCTGCCCCCCATCCAAAGACTTCCGTGGCCAGCTGCCTCCTTGAGATCTCCACCAGGAGGTCTCGTGCACCCTGCTCGACCCCTCTCCAGAAGCAGAAGTCCCAGGAGGCACGCCCGGGCCCCCGGCCTTCCTCTTCCTGGTGCCTCGGCCTTCCCTTGTCACCTTTCATTCAGCGCTGCTGGCTCTGCGTCCAGAGCATCCCTGAGCCTCTGCTGCCCACCCTCCCTCCCACCGCCCTCCTCCAGGCTCCCGGCAGAGCCTCCCTCATACCTGCCTTCCAGCCTGTGTCCTCCCCTCCTCCCTACAGCATGTCTGCTCTTGGCACCATCAGGTCACGCCTCCCTCTGCTCACGATGACGGCTAGTCAGCCCTGTACACCAGACTCTCGCCAGACAGGAGGGGCGTCCCGGGTGGTTCCGGGGGAAGGGGAACTACCCGTGTAGAGTTCTAGGGACTTAACACATCCTCACTGTCTCCTCAGCACTGCTGTTAGCAGCAGGGATTAGCATCCCTGTTTTACACGTGGGTCACTGAGGTTGACAGGCATGAAGGCATAGCCAAATCCCCCTACGGCAAAGCCAGGATTCCAGTGCAGAGCTCCCTCTGTGAAAATAAGTTCTTTTTATTATGGAATAGCTGCCTGCAAAGGCAGATAGGGAAGAAAGTGCTCAGGAATAATGCCTCTAAGATTCTAGGGTGTTGGTTTATCTTTTATGTGCTTATTTTGCTACTTCCCATAGTGATTAGCACCCAAATCCTTAAAATGCAAAGTTCCTGTCTTTTTAGGAGGCAACAAAAAGTGGAAGAACTTGGGTGGACACTTTTCCCTGTTCATATCTGAAAAGATAAGGAAGGGAAGTTATAAACAAAAGTGGTTAGAAACATAAATGGAAAGCCAGGAGTTATATGAATTTGCTGATAAGTAAATCCAGAAAACAGTGTGTCACAGGAGCTGAGGAAGGATTGTGTACGGGAGGGAGTAGTGAACATTGTCATCATCACCACAGAGTAAAAAAGAATATGAGAACTGAGACCAGGGTTTAGCAAGGAGTTCGTCGGTTTAGGTACTAACTAGTAGAGTATGGAATAGGGGATTAAAATGTTTGGATCTAGAGTCAACCATATAAACTCTGACATGTTTTCTATGGTTTCATTGGTAATACTTGCTAACTTACAATTACGTGTGAAGAAGTCATCCCTGCTTTATTTTTTTAATATACTTTATGTTCATTTTATTTTTTTATGTAATCCTGAAAAGGTACCTTTATTTCGCTTTTCTCCTTCTTGATCCTTTTATACTTCCCATGTGTCTCCTGATAATCTTTCATGTCTAGAGGCTTTATTTCATCTTACTAGCGCACGATTGCCCTCTAGTGGCCAAAAGCCTGGCTCGCTTAGTACCCAAAGTAAGTAGAAAATGAGAGTGAGCCGTTCTTTCCATCGGTTTTCTTGGCCAGAATGCTTTGAGGCTCTTGTTACTAATGATTGATTTTGTAGCTTGATCTAAAGAAAATGACTGGGATTTTCAGCATTTCCACACATTCAGCTTTTTGACCTTAGGCCACTCACTTAATTTCTCTTTTTTTGTTTTGTTTCCTGTGTGAAACTGAGATTATAAACATTGATTAATGTTAATCAAAAAGTTTATTTTTAAAAACAGTCAACCTTTAGGATTAATCTAAGGTATTTAAACTTCCCTGCTATATCCCAGATCTTTCCCTAGTCAGGCCAGTCTACTTTCTGTACAAATACAGTGCATTACCCAGTTGGAATCGAGGATTATAAGGCTAACCTTCAAACAATGCTCAAAGAAGAACAGTTTGTTTACATGTTGTAATTTACAAAGAGTCAGTATTTTAGAGGGTTTGCAATAGTAAGGCTTAAAAAAAAAAGACTTTCTACCTAAACCAGCTTGTATTGGTGTTTCCTGCACAGATCTAGAAAATTACTTGTCCCACCTGTTCCATGACTGTGCGGGTACATTGGAGCTTTATTATACTTATTTCCTTCTAGAATAACGTGTGGAAGGGTAAATAATTTAAACTGCTTTTATGTTCTTACGACAATGTCATGTTATTCATTGATTTGGTGGTGTTATTTGTTAATACACTTCTTTTTATATTTCAGAAAAGATGTTGGTTTGAAGCGATTTTTTCCTAGGAGTTTACTGGACTCAGTCAAGGTAATTAGAGTCTGCTTTATCGTAATAGGTGACCGTGTTAGGCAGACACCTCCCCCGTGGTATGCGGTTTTCTCTTTACGTGTAAAAGTCATAATATAAAAAGCTGACAGTTATTCTAGTCATACTGATGGCAAGTAGATTTTTAAAGGTGTAGCATTCTGCCAGAAAACCATGGTTTCGCTTCTTGGTTGTGAGTGCATCCGGCTAAGTACAGCACCAAGAAGGCTGCGTTCACAGCAGTCCTCATCACCTAAGTCTTCACGGTCTCGGGTATTTTGACACACGAAAGTAAAGAAGCGGCACGTAAAAGAGCCATAGTGGCAGCTGTAGCGTGTGCGCGCGCATGCGTGCGCGTGCACGCGTAGAAGTGTGTTCTGGAGGTCTGTCTTCTCTTGTTTCGACCAAGGGCACCCCTCCCCATTAGTAACTCTTGCAGGACACCAGTTCCTGTCTCTGCCTGTAGCTCCCACTGCAGGGGAGGGGACACCGGGGACCCGAGGTGTGGTTCCCCAGCCCATCCAGAACATGGTCCAGTGTGGTGTGAGGACACAGCTTTGGATCAAGAGAGAGTCCAGCTCAGCTGAGCTCTGCCATTTCCTAGCCTCATGGTTTTGGACCTGGCTTCTTATTTCCACAACGAAGAAAATAATATTTTGTAGGGTTGGTGTGGCTGTTTAGCAGATCGGTGTGTGTATGTGTATAAACTACTGCCACAAGTACCTGTCACAGTGCAGTTTATAAACTGTGGCTGTTACTGCTCTGACTTTCTATCACAGAGGACATGTTCCACACTAGAGCAGCCATGTGGAAGACCATCCCACTCACTGAGGCCCAAGTGGGATAAGACAGAACACAGTGGTTCAAAAACTGGCTCGGAAGCCAGACTGCCTTGGTGAAAGTTGTGACCCGATCACCTCGAATCACTCGGGGCTCAGTTTGACCGGAGAGTGCGGCCCTGGCTGGGCGCAGAAGCCACCTGTGCATCAGCCTGCGCTTTGCTGGGTGACCCGGGGGGGGCGCTCACAAGCGTCAGACACCGTTCCTCAGGGCATTTGCCCCGTCATTGGACAGAGAGGTGCACCACCCAGTGTAGAAGTAGAAAGCAGGAAAGGATATGAAAATGGCTATATCACATTAGTAGCACCGTCAGTGCTCAAACATTAGTCCCAGGGTGGCCTGAGAATTACTGCAAAGTCTCCTTAGAGCTGTGTGAGGATAAGCAGTTATCACAGGAGGTATGACTGCTGGCATTTGGGAGTCCAAGAAGTTATTCGGTATTTAAAAAGGATCCTCATACTCCAAACAAGCCACCCCAGGTCCAGGTCACAGGTGCCATGGTGTAAGTGTAGCCGAGGTGAGAAGGCCCCGGGGAGGTCCCCCATCGCCGGCTCTTCTAAAGCTCAGCCTCGGCGTCCTCTCCCGTACAGACTGCTCACCTCCCTAGGGGGGCTGCAGAAACCTCCTCCACCTTAGGGTCCTGCTCAGGGTCTTAATTTTTAATTTTACTTTCTCAGGTTTTAATTACTAGATATTTACTTGTTTGCATTTTGTCTGCCTGCTTCCACTATATTTTAAGATCCACGAGGACAAAGATAACATCTGCTGTGTTCTCTGCCCTAAACCCTGTGTTTGGCATAATCCCGGGCACACAGTAACATTCGCTAAATCTTATTTAAGTGAAAAAATGAATGAATAAGTTTAAGGGCCACTTGAAAGATGACTGGACTTAGAGGAGGCACTTTCCAGGTAGAGGGTACCGTGTGGAAGGAGGCATGAGAATAGCGCAGGTGATGATACTCCTTCACAAGGTAGAAGAACTGGAAGGCTGGAGAAGCTCGTTTCCCTGGGCAGCCCGCTCTGACCCTGCGGTCACTCCAGAAACGCCCCCATTCCTGCACAGGACTTGTCCCCTCCAGGTGTCTTTCAGGCTGTCCCTCAGGACCCAGCCTGACTGGCCTTCCTCATCCTCACCCTGCTGCCGACCCTGATGCGCTTCTGCTGCTGTTTGAGCTCCACCTGGCGGTCAGGTCAGCCCTGTGACTAGAGCTCAGACACTGTGGTCGCCTGTGTGGATGTCAGTACTCAGATGAGAGCACGTAGGGGCCCTGGGTGTTCATGGCAGGGGAGGGACATGGTCACCTTTTGGACTTTAGAACATAAACCTGACAGCAGCATGGAGGACAGATCGAAAGCAACAACACTCCAACCAAGAAGGCTTGGAGGTGATTAAGGTAATCAAGGTGAGCAGTGTCAGCCCCGGATGCAGTGGTGGCTGAGCCTTGTGTGTGCACGGGTAGTGGAGGGGAAGGAATTGACCCTCGGGAGCTTGAGAAAACTTCGCGAGCCAAACAGATAGCACTTGAGTTTTCTGAAAGGTTCAGTTGCTGCCGATTTTGATGCGAGCAGGGAGAACAGAATTGACTTCTAGCTCCTGTTTCTTAGGTACAGATTCGTCTAGTGTTTCACTTCTCACACGCTTTCTAATGTAAAGGAAATCAGTATACTTTTGTAAAACAAATAATGTACATTTGGCTTCTTAAATAGCTTAATCAGTAGCTCATATCCTTATGCCAAAAATTTTTCACCTTCTACGTAAATTCTTTCAACTGATTGCCGTCAGACTCTTGTGGGTATGACTGACATGAGCGTTATACCCATAGGTATGTAACAGCTACAGTACAAATTAGGTTGTGTTCAGACAGTCTCCTCTTCAAAACTATTGCCAATGAAACTTCAACTAACAAGAAGTTCACATCAGCTTCTTGTTTCTCCCGGACTAGCCCTATAGAATGGCTAGACCAATTAGTATTTGCTTTTACAAAGGCCATTTTGTTTTATATGCCTTTTTCCCTTCATATCTAGACTTCTAGAAGATCATTTGTAGTTAATGCTCACGTTGAAGGGCTGAAAGGTTACCTTGTATTTGATGGCACTTAAGCTATGATTGATTGATGGCAAAACAGGATTGGGGTATGTGTGCCCGATTACTAAGAATAACTTACGGGATATTTAAATTTCCTGACTCTTTGATCTCAGTAGTGCCAGAGGCACATTTTTAAAAACACTGTACCAGCAAAACTAACAAGTCAATCCCAACCTGAGGACAGTCCTCAAAATTGACAGCTGGGCGATGGGGAGACATGAGTAAATGCAGTGTGGGGTCCTGGAGCGGTGAGAGGGCGTCAGTGGGCAAACTAGGGGCTCTGAATAAAGTCTGCAGCTAGCGTGTACTCTTGTACCAACGTTGGTTTCTTAATTTTAACAGATGTGCCAGTGTTGTGTGAGATGTTAACTTCCGGGGCAGGTGATGGGGGGAGGTGGGCACCGGGCGAAGGGCAGGAATTCCGTACTGTCTTTGCGGCTCTTCTGTAAATCTCAAATTACGTTGCAAATAAAATAGCCAAATTTCAACTTATTTGAGTATAATTCACAGTAGAAATCTAATTTCAGAACTAGACATGTTGCAAGATCAATAGTTACCAGTTTTTTGAAGTTTCTGTACTTTAAGGTAATAGAATGGTTTCCTAGGGTCCTATCAGGAGCACTTAGTCATTCCCATCCCTGTGGTTAGCACGGAAGTGCCTGGCTCAGCAGTCATTCAGCAGCCAGCTCCTGGCATCTGCTGTGTGCCAGGGAGAATGAAGCCTGGTGTCAGCACAGAAGTGGCCGTCTGGTCTGGGGTCCTGTAAGGAGGGTGGAAAAAAAGCACGCTTCAGACGTACACATGCACACACACACACACACACAAATGGAATGTTACTTAGCCATAAAAAGAAGGAAATCTTGCCATTTGCAGCAATGTGGATGGGCCTTGAGGACATTGTGCTCAGTGAAATAAGTCAGACAGAGAGAGACAAATACTGTGACCTCACTTATATGAAAAGAAAAAAAGCCAGCTCATTGATACAGAGAACAGGTTATGGTTGCTGGAGGTTGGAGTGGGTGAAATGGGTGCAGGGCTCAAAAGCTACAGACTCCGGTTATAAGTAAGTCCCAGGGATGTGATGTACAGCATGGTGACTGTAGTTATTAACACTGTTTTACATATTTGAAAGTTGCTAAGAGGGTACGTCTTAAAAGTTCTCATCACAAGAAAAAGAAATGTGCCACTATGTGGGGTGATGGGTGTTAACTAGACTTACTCTGGCGATCATTTCACAGTATATACAAATATTGCATCATTATATTGTACACCTGAAACTAATACAATGTTATACGTCAGTTACAGCTCAGTTAAAAACACACTTCGCATGCACTGTTAACGTATCTATGTTTAGCGTTTGGTAGGTGGGGAGAGAATTCCTCAGTTAATGCTTCTTAGCCTGTTACTCTTTTCTTGCATGTTTTCTTTAGCAGCACTACATTATAACTTTTTCATCCAGGAAGCCCTCGGAGTCCATTGTTGCTAGCAGCATCTGGTAAATATTAGGTTGATTAATACGAAATTATTTTTGTTGTTCAGAAGGCTGAGTAGCAGCAATCTCCAATGATTCATCCTAGTAATACTGCCTCATTTTGAGTAGCTTTCTCTCTGTATATGAATTGGTTTAAGATTGACTAGCATTCATCGATAGATGCCTTGTTTCCTAAGTCTGGGCAAACACAAAGCTGATGTTGAAACCCTATAAACAGGGAAGTGTATTGATTAATATCAAGAGATTCTAGGGAGTCAGATTTTGTGGAATTTTTTTCCTTACTGAGAAAGGAGGAAAGAACTGATGCTCTCTAAGGCATCCTTCTTAGAAACGAATCTGGGGCTCCTTTCAGATAGCGAGGGTTTTCTAGTTCCTGCCCAACACTGGCTGCTGCAGGCCGGAAATCTCAGTCCTCTTGGGTGGCCACATTGGAGTAGAGACCCCGAGAAAGCTCGGGGACTCACTCCCAGCCAGGTGCGCCCGCTCTCGCTTGGCGGGGAGCCGGGGTGTGGCTCTGTGTCCCCAGGAAGCCAGCCCTGAATGGGCGCGCTCCCTCCTTCAGCTCCTGCGGCCGCTGCCCAGGAGTGTGACTTCCTGTCTTAGCCGGGTGACGTGTAGGCCTCGGGAGGGGCCGGGCAGAGCAGCACGCGGAAAACTGACAGAGTCAGCTGGATGGCACAGAGGCGTGAACCTGTAGCTCAGGCTGTCTGTCTGCTAGCACTGCACAGTTACTATTTTCAAACCTATTTGCCCAGTTGCTCAGAAGTTTTCCGGCAGGTTGAATGGTCAGGTGCACAGTTTAGTTGACCCCATGCACACCCATTCCACGGGTGCTGGGGGTCAGGGGACAACAGTGAGGGAAGGAGACGCGGAATTGGGAGTGACTGTGCCATGGGGTCGGCAGGAGAATGAGAATCAGCAGGGACCATAAGGTGTTGCGTTTCATCTTTACACGTGCGCATATTTACCTGTTACGTGAGAGTTATTTCTATACACTTAACAAAGAACTAACTAACTACGTATAATGCTCACATCACAGATATTTCCATTTCCTTGTTTTTCACTAGTCTCTCTTCTACCAGAATTCTGTATCCACGGGAGACCATCACAGAAATCAAAGCAAGAGTGGGGCTGCTGCGTGGGAAGCTTAGAGAAAAGAACATGGCTTTTGGAAAAGCACTTTGAGGACGTGGCAGTGAAGTGGGTTTTGAGAGGTGGGCGAAAGAGGTCAAGGTTGCCGCCTAGGTTTCTGTCTCTAAGCAGCTGGGAGATTTGCTGAGATGAGGAGGTCCAGGCCTGGAAGAAAGTCACAAGTTCTCTTGGTGGCATGCCAGGTTTCAGGTGTCTGGGAATCTCAGGTGGAAAGCTCAGGTGGGCACGTGCATATGTGTGGGTCTAATGCTCAAGAGGAGATGCAGAGAGTTTGCAAAGCCTGGAGCCAGAACAGCTGTTAAATGCCGTCTCAGCTGTGGCGCGAGTGGCCTTTTTCAGTCTCTGGGCTCGTGGCCTGAGCTTGGACGGCTCTTCCCCAAACCACGCGTCCCAGACTTTTCTTTTACAGAGTGTCCAAGGCCAACCACTCATGTTGTAGGTGACATCTGATAGTCAAGCCTTGCCCTTGAACCCATTTTGCTTCTCTTCACTTTAGTTCCTGTGATCTAAAACCATAACTGATTCTCTTCCAATTGCCTGTAGCTCCACACTTGGCTCACCTGTCAGAACCCCAGCCCTGGTTAAAACCAATGTTGGCCTACCAAGCAGGCTTTGGCCCGCACTTCTTTCCTGCGGCCACTGTACTTGTGGGAGTCATCAGGCCCCATGCCTGTAATCACGTCGGCTGGAGACTGTAAGGCTCTGACCCAGCCCTGCTGTCTCCTGAGCTCGGATCTGTACCCAGCTTTATGCTCAGTGGTTCAGCTCGGGAGACTTGCGGATCTCAGGCACGTTCAGAATTAACGGGACTTGATCTTCCCGGAGCCCCGCCCCTTCTGTTTGCCCGCTTGTTCCACCCAAAGCTCGAGTTGTGTCGACTTCCCGCTTTCCCTGCCATCTCGAGCATCACCCAGGTGGCCGTGCGTGCCCGGCGCCAGTCTTCCTGCTTCCGTTCTCCCCCACACCTTCTCTGCAGGAGCAGAGCCAGCTTGTGAAATAAAAGTCACCAGCCCTAGGTTATCTAGGGCCCGCTCTCTGCCCCCCGCCGCCTCGCACCCTGGTCTTCATCTCCAGTAACCGCAGCCCCTCTGGAACTGGATCCCACGCTGACCACTGCTCCTAGCGGTCCAGCTCACTCTGCGGTGTCCCAGATCCAGAAATCCTTTGACCACACTGGCACCTTCAGGCCACTCCAGGCAGGCTGTCACTGCCCTGACCCACCAGAGTATGCCACCCCCTGCTGATTCACCTGCTCCCACTTCCCTGACTGCTGAGATTTGCAGGCCGCCATGGGATGAGGTCCTGTCCCTGCCCCTCCAGATCCCACCCTGGTCCTGTCTCCAGTCTCCTGGCTTTGCTTCCTGTCTGTGTGCATCTCACACCGAGGCTCAGGTGGCCCCTGGTGTTCTCTAAGACCCTCCTCCGCCTTGCTTCTCCTGGTCTTGGCCATTTCAGTTCAGTGGTAACTCTTACCTCTCAGTACATCCTGTTGATTCTGTTTTCAAAACAAATCTGAAATCTGACTACTTCTCACTCCTTTCTGCTTCTACACTTGTGCAGCAGTGCCTGGGTCCCATCACCTCTCGCCTGGATTATTTTGTTGGCATCTCACTGGATCTCTCCTGCTCCCTTCATACTGTTCCCAACATAGCGGCCAGAGTATTCCTGTCAAAATCTATGTCGGATCACAATATTCCTATTCCAGGCCGCCCCAGGGCTTTGCATCTCACCAGGGTGGACCCAGTTGCGTCCTGTGGCCTGCACCCTCTTGTACCCTTCCCCAGACCTCATCCATCACACATCCTTTGCCCGCTGTCCCCCTCAGGCCACACTCCTCTCTCTGACACACCATGGACTGTGGGCTCGCCACCCTCCACCATCCAGATGCTCATGGTTTATAAATAGAAAACTCACATAAATGAAAAGTCACCCAGAGATCACCTGTGATTCCACTACACAGAGAAGAGAGGCATGGCTGGTTTGTCTTCACTGTGCGTTGGTGCGTGTGCCAGCCTGTGTGAGGCCCATATCCTGTGCTCTCCTTTTAAAGGCTTCTACACTACAACAGATTGCCTTGTCTTATTTTTTCATGTAGCACTGTGATACCGATTTTCATGTCAGTAACTGGGATGTGCACAGCAGTCTTAGGACATCTGGGTAGCAGACACACTGCAGTGTGCATGGCCGGTTTTGGGGTACTCTACACGCTTCCGTGCTGAACCTCCTTGTTGCTGGATCTTTGCACAGTTCTTTCATCATTCCTAAAGAATAATTTCTCAAAGGTTGTGGTTTTAAAGTTTTTGATTTCTTATTGCCAAATTGCCTTCAGAAAGGGTGCGTCGACTTCCCCTCCCAGGTTGGGATGTGTGAGTGCCTTTATGTCCCCTCCTTTGCCGACTTCAGGTCACATGCGAATATAGCCCTTATATTTTTAATGCCTAACTGTTTACCACATGTTCTAATAAGCCAATTATTGCTTTACCAATTTCTGTTTAAGAAATAAAGCTTGGTGCTGCTGAACTGTATACTTTAGAATGGTTGCGATGGTATATTTTATGTGTATTTTACTATGATTTTTTTTTAAATAAAAGAAACAAAGCTCTGATAAATACAGCATTTGGTGAACGTAGGTGGTATTAAGTGGTGGCTGGACAAGAAATGTTCCTTGGTGTTGGCTGTTATTGCTGTGGTCTTTACTCATTGTTGGCTCTAAAAAGATGTTTGTAATTTTATCATGCAGGCCAAAACACTAAGAAAATTGATTCAACAAACATTTAGACAGTTTGCCAACCTTAATAGAGAAGAAAGTATTTTGAAATTCTTTGAGATCCTCTCCCCAGTGTACAGATTTGATAAAGAATGCTTCAAGTGTGCCCTTGGTGTAAGTATGGGGACTTGGAAATAGGGTGGGACTAGGTGTGATTTCTTTTGCTTTTTCTTATCCATGTATGTCTAAATTTCTGATTGAAATCTAATTTGTCACATTTTTAACAACATGAGAATATTTTATCATTTTACAGTGGGAAAAATACAAAAAGAAAATGTGTCAACGCGAGACTAAAACCATCCTTTTTTAAAAGCATGCCGAAGATTTTTTTTTTTATTCCAGACCAGCGATTCATTGCTTAACTGTTCGCTAAGGGCTGGTTTCCCTATTCATATAATCTTCCCAAAGAAACCATTGGCTTGAGACCCACTGGAATGAGCGCAGCCTGCCTGTCTCTGCTTAGCTCAGCAGATGCTGAAGTTGTAAATGTTCTGTATTACTCGGTTACAAAGACCAGTAGCAAGCTAGCCCAGCCCCCCTTTGGTCCTTTAACGTGTCCATGGTTCTTTATCTAAAATATCTTTTTCCTTCTGGTACCTTTGCCGTCACCCGTTTCACCTTCAAGTCGAGCTGGATTATTTCGGTGGAGCTGGCGATTGGCCCCGAAGAAGGGATCAGTTACCTCACAGACAAGGGCTGCAACGTAAGTGCGCTTTGGGCAAGTCTTGGGAGCGGCCTGTGTGGAACACACCTCCTTTCGGACCTGATTGTGGACAAAGGGGAATCAAAATAAGGAAATGAGGATCCTCTTGGAAAAGACATCATTCTGCCATTAAAGCTTTCCGTTTCACAGCGTTTATTGCTCAAGGGAATGAGAGGAAGAGACAGCCTAGGTCGAAAGTTTTTGAAATTCTTTAGTCGGGAAGGAAGGGAATCACACAGATGGCACGTATGTTGGTGAGATCTGAATGGGGTTGTTACAGTTCATCTGGAGAAGTTTTAGATACTGATTTCTTCATTCACTTCTGCATCTAATTTAAGTATATTTGTACTTGTATCATGTCCTTTGAAACAGCCTCTTCTGGCTCTTTCCAGGATCAAAAATATCACTAAGAAAAGGGCAGCCACCCCAATAGAGGATGTCCGAATAGTTAAGACGTAAGTGAAGCGACGTTCAGCCCCATAGTCATCAGATAAATGCACAGTGTGATACTGTTACACGCCTACCAGAATGGCTGAGGTGAAGGAGATGAGTAATTCCAGGTGTTGGCAGGCATGTGCAACAGTTGGACGTTTCATACACTCTGTGAGGGTATAAAGTGGCACAACCTCTTCAGGAAGCTCTGTGACGTTATCTGTCTTCTCTTTGATTTGTAGTCTCTTGTATTCTCTTGCCAGGTTTTCTTTGTCCTTCCGCATTTAACCCGTGTGGAATTTTGTGTGTGGTACAAGGTGGGCCTGCGGTGTGTCCGGAGGATGGGCTCTGGAGTGTGCAGCCGGGGTTCCCAGTGGGTGGGTCACCCTCATGCTGGCCGTGTGACTTTGAGTCCATTTCTTCACAGCTGGCTTGTGTTTCCTCGTCAGCAAAATGGCAATAATAATCACAACTACCTAAGAGGGGTGGTAGGAGAATGAAGTGGGTACTGAGTGTGCAGTGTTGAGATGAAGGCCTTGCACAGAGGAAGTACTTAGAGGATGCTGGCTGCTGTCATTGTCCCCTTGTTGTTCTTCTTGCCTTGTTGTTCTTCTTGTTGGTATCCCAGTGAGCAGCCAGCTGTGTCAGCACAGTAATCGTATCTTTTACCTCTGAACTGAACGTCTGCCATCTTTGTGAACTAATTCTGGATCCTCTGTTCTGGTCCAAGGACACAGTTCTCTCTCTCTGTACTGCTTCCATCCAGATGGGACTGCTCTAGGTGGGTGCTGCATCCCTGTGTCATCTTTTGTTTGTACACTTTCCTGGCTGTTACTGGCTAGTTAGTCTTTCGAAACCAAATGTATAGAATTAGCAGAAAATTCTGTTGGGATTCCAACTTGTTTGTTAATTTGTGAAAGTAGATATTAGTTAGTTATCTGTCCAAGAATATGGTATGTCTTTCTATTTGTTCAGGACTTTTTTTTTTTTTTTTTTTT